TCAGAGCCCTGGAGTCTGCCTCACAAAGAAAAGAGGAGAAATGAGAGAGACGTAAAATAAAATGAACCTGGCATAAGCCCCAATAGAAAAGGTTTCTTACCCTGCCCTTGCTCATCTCCGTCACAGGTCGAGTCCGCTTTGGGGATGTGAAGGGTTAACTGGTTATCTGTTAAGCGTCACCCTTCCCGGGAAATGCTGAGGGGTAACTGGTTAACCAGCAGTCCGGCCTGAGCAGCCCACAGCCAGCCCGCCGATGTGCACCACAAGCTGGGGCTGCTCCGAGGTTAACTGGGTAAATCTGTCGTTTAACTGGTTAGTTATTTAAAATGTTAACATCCCTAGTCTGTGTCCTGAACTCCTGGGCGAGAGTCTGGCAGCTCCTTCTCTTGCTCAGCTGCTCCCGTGGGACACATTCACTAGAAAGGCAGCTCACGTAAATGTTGTGGGATCAGCATCGTGGCTGGGACTCAGAAATGAAAATGCCTCGTTTCGCTGTCCAAGGCGAATGAAGTGCCAAAAGGAAACGCAGTGAAGGGAACCGTGTTCCTGCCCCGTAGTGTGTTACTCGTATTTCAGTAGCTCCGAGCCCCCCTCTGAGCTCAGGGAGAGGTTGGGCTAGGCGCTGTACGCCGAAGTATTGAGAGACGTTCCCTGCCCCAGTGAGCTTACGGTCTAAATAGCCAGAAAAGGCAAAGGGCAGGAGGTGAATGCATTTGTCTAGGGGTTACATGCCTGGCCAGTTGGGGGCCAGGAAGAATATCCAGGTCCCCTGACTCCAAGTGACAACTGGCTCATGCCACCCCGTATAGAACATGAGAAGTAATTAGTAAAGCAGCTCAAAACTACGGTCACAACACTTTTCCATTGGAAAGTCTCTCTCCAGGTCTCCTGGAGACTGACCGGTCTCCACCCTTGCAGGTTGAACGGCGCCTTAAGACTTTTAAGCATGTTTCTTTTTCTATTTTTGAGGGATGGAGGATGGCTCGCGGCAGCAGTAATCAGTCCTTTGCAGCAGCAAAGTCCACGTCACCGCAGTCTCCGTAGCGATCACCATAGAACCCCAACAAGCTAAACAGCCGAACCTTTTATCATGAATGGGATGAAAGGAATAAGATTGTCCGACCCATTGTTGGCTAGGCTGCAAGCCTCCTGTTTTCTGCCACCTCCCCTGTGTATTATGCTTGTATTTCGGTTGAAGTGCCCCAAATGTCCTCAACATTTTCTAAACACTGACGTGACGGCAAAGCATGTGCAAGCTGAAAGCAATTCTGTATTGCAGGAGACGGTGTTGTATCCGGCAGCCCAAAATGCTGGTGTTAGTGAAATTTAATCTCTTCCAACTAGAAATGAGTGTCCACAGTTACACGCAGGCTCCGGGGAAACAGCGGGGGGGGGGGGGGCCCTCTCTGTGTAACCGTGTAGCCACTGAAATTTTCAGCAGCGATACAGTTGCTTCAATGCATTTGAACATCCCTACTTGAGCTATGACTGTCCATTTACAGGCAGTTGGTGGGTTTGGGGCATACGTAACTGCACCTCTGGTCATGAGACTTGTGAGATTTCTTTGTTTTTACTCTTCGTTATTGCCTGCATCTTTCTTGCATTGGATCAGCGTGTGCACATTTGATGCTCCTGTTGTAGAACAAAACGTGGTAAGCGCAGCTAAGACTTTTTTCTCTCGTGTTTAACAGGCAAATGAGGTGACTGACAGCGCCTACGTGGGTTCCGAGAGCACCTACAGCGAGTGCGAAACCTTCACAGACGAGGACACCGGCACGCTGGTGCAGCACGAGATGCATGACGAAGTAGAAACCGACAGTGCTATTGATTCCACGGTGCACTCAGAGTTCACCGACCCTATAGAGGAGCCAGAGAACGGGTCAGTGCTGCTCACTCCTGGCAGATGCGCAAGAGGGAGGGGGAAGATAACAACAATGGGGCCAAATTCACTCTTGGTGGAGAGCAAACAGAACTCCACGGGTACCTGTGATTTGAATTTCTAGCAAGGTTAGATGATTGGTTTTGGGTCTTTCTGGCTTGAACAATGGCTTGTTAGTATGTGGGATGTTCAGTATCGGTTAACTGAATAGTCGACTAACCTCATGGATTCGTATTGGTTATTCGACTATTCTATAGTCCCTGGGGATGGGGCCGGCAGCCAGTGCGCTCCCGCCCCCCGCCCCTCTGT